ATCTTATCTTTGGGTTAATTAAAAAAATGTGTAATTTATGGGAAAAATCACAATTTTTAATTTAATTAACAAACAAATAAAAAAATACAATTTTATTAATAAAAAAAAGTACCTTCATTATAACTAATTTATTTATAGTTACTATATACAAGTTTCAATTTTTATAACATGTGAATCAAATTTTAGATTATTTTTTACTTACTGTGACGTAAATGATGATCAACTTCAATTCACGAAATTTATTTAAACAACTGCTGTCCAAAAAACAATCAATTGATATATTGAAATTGAAATTGAAATTGAAATTGAAATTCATTGCAATGAAACGAAATTTCAATTATGTTTATATATATTTTATTTAAAAACGGACCCTGTTTTGCCATATTTGCTAACCAAATTAGGACCTACTTCCTTCCTTTTTTGGAATACAACTTATTATTATAACGGCCAATCACAATAAACAACACTATGAAATTTAGATCATCTGAGTGCTAACAACTTTGTATCGTGATCTGTATATATTGATAAATATATATTCGACATGTTTGATATTGATCAACAATCGCTCTGATGATCGTTAAAAACCAAAAATCCACAGAAGAAATTTTTACTAAAAAACACATTTCTTTATAGACAAGTGTCGATTTTTTCACCAATTTTGGTCTCTACGTTCTTCTCGGAACATTATCATATGAGTTTTGCTATAGGGAAAAAATTTTTGAAAAAATTTCTTAAAAATTTAGAAAAATCTTATCGCCCTGTTACTAACGACGAAGACATATATCTTACATATTCGTCTCCCAATAAAAGAAACAATATGACTTCCAGTCAACCTGCAGGTTCTTCTCAAACTGCTCATAACACCATAACGGACACGACTATGGAAGAGGCATTATCCACCTCTCCCACTCATATTCTCTCGCACAGCGAAATCGAACTTACATCACGTGACTTACAGGAAAATGATATTCACACGCAAACACCAATCACTGAAAATTTGACTTTTATGGAGGAAGATCCTATTGAACCTAACCCCGATAAGGGGAAATTACCAGAAACACAATCAGCCACACAAATAAACACTCCTAATCCGGTACAAATCACGGTGCTAAATGATATTTTTAAACAGACACCACAAGCTTCAAACAAAGCACACAAAGGATTTATTCCTAGAGATAGTTTCCCACCGAAACTTTCTAACAACGAAATTATCAATCTAATAAAGACGTCATTTATCAAAGACAGTAATGCTTTTAGATTTGATGTTAATACAACATCCACATATAGATACTTTACTATTCACTTCAGAACACGTGACTCACTTGTTCAATATATCGAAAAAAGTCCTGACAACCTCAAACACATAAAAATTTACGAACTCACCAATGAGACTATCAACACATTAATTGAACGCAAATTCGCTAATTTAGACCAGGCCGTCATAAAAATTATGGATATCCCATACAACTACGATACATCCATGCTCATCAAGCAAGGACCCCGAAGAATATATAAATAACTCAGATCCAAATTTAAATTTTAATATGTTCTTTATACATTTAATTTTTATTAATAGCTTTATACAAAATCAGTATATAAGTTCTAATCCTATTATAATTTTATACAACTTTACCTCTAAGTTATAAATTCTTTGCAATTATCTGAATTACTTCTTTTTGATTAAAAAAATTATAATGAATTTTTGCTTTGTTTAATAACTGAAGAGTATTATCATCAAAAACCTTTATATCTTGCATGTTTAAATGATAAATAACATTTTTTGGATGTTGATGAGTAATTAAAAAACATCCCTCCTCTGTTAAAGCTGAAAAAATATTACTTATAGTAGTAAAAACTTTGAGAGTTATATATGATATATTTTCAATGTCTGTAATTGGTTCTTGATGATAACTATTATATCCATATTCTTCATAAAAGCTAGAAATTACTTGTCCAATACAAAGTTGTAATCCAAAAACAACTAGAACAAAATCTTGCTCATTAAGAGGATTATGACTATTAATATTTGCTGATTCAATATTTTCAACTATAAAATGAAAAAATTATTTTAATAATTTCTAATAATATAATAAACTTATTCAATTTATACTCACTTAAATTTTTATTATCAATTAAAATTTTTTGCCGTTTTTTTGATTGCCCCTTTTCATAAAAAGTAGCAAGAGATTGGCTCATAGTTTTTCGCTCATTTTTCCATCTCTTTTCACGTTGTTTAACAATTCGCATTTCAGCATTTTCATTTTTACTAAAAAATGAGACAATATGATTTGCTTGATTAGGTTTAATTAAACCAGATTTGCATAATTTTGTACTATTAGTTTTAATTGTACGTTCAATATTGCGAGAATTATAAGCATTATGCTTCTCACGTTGATACACCATTTCTTGAAAATCAATTACATTTTCAGTAACCAGTATAGTAGTATCAGTATTATTAATATCTTAAATTTAAAATAAATAATATTAGTATCTATAAATAATTATTTATAAATTGTAATTCTTTAACATTACCTGTATTAATTATACTTGAATCCAATGTTTCATCTATATCAATAAAAGAAAGTTGCTTTTGACATTCATTTAAAGACAAATTTTGACTATCTTTATTTATGTTTACTTTTTCCCTTTCATTTTCTTTTTGTCTTATAAGATTCACTTCTTTAGCCGCATAACCAATTATTTGAGAAAGATCAAGATTAGAAAAATTCTCATCTGAATCTTGCATGCATTCATCATGATTATCTGAACCAGATACTTCTCCATCATTAGGACCTATTAAGATATAAGGCCGAAGTGAATTAATAGGTACAATATCGGGAGTCAACATTCCTAGAAATTCAGCAAGATCACATGCTAGTTGGCGTGACTGATCAAATGCATGATGAATTTGAATATCATTTGGCCAAGATCTCAATATATTCTCTTGATCAAATTCAATAATTTCGTTATTATATTCAAATTGATATCCTATCAAGTAAAATAATTAATTTATTTATATGTTAGCTATAATCATTATATAGTATTAAACAAAGGAATTTTTTTTACTTACCATCACGTACAGATTTCTCTTTATTGAAAGACAATTCTTTTGAATTTAATGCTTTGGTATAGTGGCCAATTTTTGGTACCATTTCTAACAACTCTGCAAAATCAAAATCAGCATTAATTTGCCGTGCTGCTCCAAAAAAATGTTCACAGGCTTCTGAACCATGAATCCAAGGAATAAGAGGATATTGACTATAATAATCTCTATGAGCTTTTACAAGTAAAACTATTGATTCTGCTAATGAAGTCATTATTGCAAATGTTTGAGATGCAATAAAGTTCTGAGATACAGAAATAAATTCAGGATACTTTCGTGCTAATGTATTTATATGAAATCGCCAAATTCGCAAAAAAAAATAAGAAGTCATTGCCATTCTTATTCGTTCAAGAGGTGAAATATTTCTATTCAAATAACTATCAACCAATTCACCTAATAAAATAAGATAAATATTAAATAAATATATTTAGTATATTTATATTTATAAACAAAAGAGTTGCAGTTCCTTACCAATTATAAATAGATATATAAATGTGCCCTTGAATTCGGATTTGATCTTATTATTAGAATCAAGGCAACATGCCAAATTTTTAGGGCAAAAGGTTCGATAAGCTGCACCATCGTCTTGACGATCAAGCTTATACACATCAGACTTATACATGGGACTTTGGAGATGAGATAACAATTTTGTAAAATGATTAAATCCTATAGTAGAATGACCAAATGTGAGAGCTCGAGCACCAGACATTGCTGCATTATGTCCCGTCTTCTTAGCATGTTTAGGATCTTGAATTCGTACTATTGGTCCAATATTTGGAAAAATTGGACAACTGAAATCAATGTTATATGGTGTATAATTAAATCTAAGTCTATCGGAAGTTTTAATCTGTTGAATTTGAGTTTGTGCGTTAAACTCAACTTGTGCACCATCAGAACCAATTGAGATTATGTGTAATCCAAGTTCCTGTGCAAAATCCAAAAGTAACTTATGTATATTGACGATTGATTCCGTTTTATCAGATCCATTGTTAGGAAGAAGAGCAATAATTACTGGAGGAAATTTTGGCAACGGAACCTAAATAGAATTTCGTAATGTTAACATAATTATATTTAACCTGCCTTACCAATATATTAATAATATTTACCTGTAATATATACACTCTTACATATTTTGCAATAGAATTATTTTCCTTAATTTTGTTGATTACAAGTGGAATATCGTTATATGTTTTGATACTTGTCTCATTAACTGAAAATGTAGATCCAATTATGCATCCCATCTGCGATGAATATCGGAGGCGAGGTTTTAGTTTTGTATTGTCGGACATAGCTGCAATCGGTCCATCATAACCAATTGAATCCAAAAATCGCTTAAAACGAGCTACGTTTTCAAAACAAAGTGTTGGATCCGTTAATATATCTTCAGAATTAGAACGCAAACGCCTAAAGATTGTTAAAAAGCTTTATTAAGTTATTTTTTAAATAAAATGTACCAAGATAGTAATTTTATACCTGATATTCTGGATCGTTAAACCTTCTAAGTTTTGTCGAAATAAATTTAATGCATGCGGACTAAAGGTACCAAGTACTATGAGAAAGTTTTTAAATTCCTCAGAATATTTCAGGTTTTGTTTACCCTTATTTTTCTCTTTTTTAGATGCAACTTGTGTCATAATTTCACAAAGACCTGTAAAAACTGGTTTTTCTTTAAAAGCACCATTAATACCTTTATTTGCCAATGTTACCCAAACATCTGAAGCCGTATCAGAGTTATTGTCTTTGATAAGAGACCAAACGATATTAAGATCAACATATTTCAAATACTTTTTCAGAGGATCGTTTTCGAAATAGTGTTTTGGGATATGCTTCAATTTTGATTTTGGTGGTTTTACAATTGCAATTCGATTTTGTAAATTCTTATCAACTTTTAAGCTAAGACATTCATTACAAGCACTTTTATCAGTATATCCTGCGCAATTCATTGAACATACAGAATTACCTTGATTAAAGATATTTTATTAATATGTATATATACAGATTATATGAAACAAATAGCGCTTCAACTTACAATCACGATCAACTCGCCATATTGCTTCTGAATATAACTGACGATTCAATCGGCGTTTTTGTGAATGAGTTAATCTCTTACGCGTAAATTTATTTGGAAAGAGATTAGGGAAAAGCTCCTTTGCTACAATTTCAATTCTTCTAGTTCCACCAAATTGAACAGGAGTACGACTGATATATTGGCGAATTGATCTAGATTTGAGACCAGGGCAAGGTTTTCGTTTATTGTTAGATAAGGTTATTGCATCATCTTCACTACTTGAGTATTCATCCTCAATATCACTTTCTGTTTGTACTTCATTTTCTTCATCAACGTTAAACAAATCATCATCATCCATTCTATCATCATCATTACTTTCCCATTCTTCGGCACTACTAACATCATCTGCATTTTCATTTTTTTCATTTTTTTTTAGCTTAGAAATTGGTTTATAAAAATTCAAGATAGATTGAACTCCTTGCTTAGCCAAACATCCTTTACCCTTAACGTGAATATTTAAAAAGGTTTCATCATAGCGACGACTAAGTTTAATAGTTTTACCACAACGATAAATAACTTTCTTCATACGAAGTATGTGAGCGCAATATGGATGTTTTGCAAGTCTTTCCTTGCTATATTTCCAAGCAAATGGCATTTTAAGAAAAACAAAAAGAACCAAAGTTTATGATAAAAATATGAAGAATTTTTAAAAATAAAACGTATAACAAGAGATGAAAATACACAATAAAAAAAAATAAAATGCACGATAAAAAAAAATGAAATGCACGATGAAAAAAAAGATGAAATGCACGATGAAAAAAAAGATGAAATGCACGATGATGAAAAATTGTATGATCACATTTTTTATATATAGATATATACTAATAATGTATAAATGTATTTTATACAAATTAAAATCTGAATTGCTTTAAAAATCTATTTCCGTTATACAAACGTATACCTAACTTCTAAATTTACCGACTGATCAGATTATACAAATTTAACTTTAAGTTTCTAAAAAGTGATATAGTAACTTTATACAAACCTGAATCCCAGTTATATATATAATCTTCGGGGTCCTATCAAGCACCTCGCCGTAAAACAGGTAGCAACGTCCTTGAATACAAGGAAATTAAAAAACCTCCAAGAAAAATTCCCAATCGCAACAATCGCGGACGTACTATTTTCATAAAACCAGCCTACAAACTACTTATTGTCCAATTTGACAAACAGTCAGCATATGATTATTTTATGAAAGAAAACTATTGGAGCCTTGAAATCGAGAACTTCGTAGTAAGGATTTTACCTGGAAACCCTGACGACCCTGAATATAAAAAATGCACCAGCTGTTACTTTAAAATTACTGGACTCCCCCTCAACACCACAGCCAAGGACATTGAACCACTTATCAAGCACGTCTATGGACGAACTTGTACATTCACACAAACCACCAAACACTCAACTATGAAAAACGCCTATATTTACATTTCACTGGATAACTATCCAGTTGACGCGATTAATGGCGCTTCCTCACTATTTGAAGGTTATAACCTCCACATCCTACCGGGTCATCTATCACTCAAAACGTGTAACACTTGTGGATCACCCCTTCACGAAACGAAAGATTGTGATGATAAAAACTTCGATACAGACCAATCTAATCGCAAATTCTTCAAAAAATGATTTATTAATCGTAATGAAGAAAAAATTACAATCAGTGAAAACCACAGAGCCAGATATAATCACGTCATAACTCTAAATGCAAATAAAAGTTCAAACACAACGTCACCAAATTATAAGTCTAGCCAACCACTAGCACGCAATTACAATAACAAAAATCCACAATCAGGCAGCTTGTTATATCCTCGTCAAAACAAACAACCATACAACCATACAAACCATGGCAATAATAGCAAAAATTATAAATATGACAATTCCTATATTGCCCCGCACTTGGACAATCCTCAAATGTCTACCACCAAAAACTCAGAACACAGAATTACCCAACTGGAACAACAAGTCCAATCACTCCTAGATAGCGTTAAGACACTTCAAGAAGGAAAAACTAAAGTCGATAGTACTATCGCCGATATTCACCACAACCATAATTTAATGAGTTCATCACTCAATGATATAACCACCAGACTAGACAAGTACGACACAATTATACAACATCTCACGACTAACATTAACCTACTTAGTCAAGAAAAGATCGCACAATCAAAAGATCGCTCCATCAAATCACCAAAAAGAACATCACCATACGAACAGTCTTTGTATAGGGCAGCAAAAACTAGATATAATCTAAGAGCAATAAACAAGGTAACATCACAGCGAAAGACAGTGAACAGCCCTTAGCAACTGATGAAGACACTGACGCCCCCGATGATGTCGTTATGTCAGACAGTGCCGTCTTTGAAGGAATCATTGACGAACTATCAAACACAACACCAACTGAGACTAAGTTCTCAGTTAAATCCTATAACCCTCTTAACCTCCTCCCGCAGTTTAATGCAACGCATTAATTACGTGTCTAGTATTAATACTATCACCTCCCCCTCTCTTTTTTTTGGATATACTTCTTGGATTTACCCATTTAGATATTAATGGCTTAAATATTTCGATTCACATATTCATACTTTTTTATACAATTTTTTTTATGGAATACACCAATTTGAAATCCCCGGCTGACCTCGAAAATCAGCCTTCTGAACCCATTTTACAATATTCTTATTCTAAATATAATAATAATACAAAAATACAAAAAAATCATAAAAAACCCCAAAATCACAAAAATATTAATCAAAATTTCCACCCTCCATACAACAATGACACATATACATCAAATTCACAAAATTACACTTGTGAATCTCGTAACGAAGAAGATAAAAACATGTTAAATTATATCGAATATAACATATTCGACGATAATGATACATTAGGGATGGCGTCTACCTCTCAACCACACGACACCCCTATACCTTCATTCCCCCAATTACGTACACATTTCATTGATTACCATAAATTTGGTACAATTAATATTCAAGGAGGATTTAATAATAAATTAAATGATATTCTCCAATTTTTTACACTTCACAATTACGATATACTTATTTTAACTGAAACTGGTCTCCATCAATATACCAATATAGACATGGACCTTAATAAAACAATACACTCAATACACTCACTTCCGTCATTGAATAATGACAACACTAAACCAAATATTCATGTTTATACAGATAACAAAGGAAATACCAAAGGCAGTGGAGTCTCTATGATAATCACAGATCAACTGCAGAAACATATTATTAAAACCAACACTTTTTTTGGTCGTATCCTTACGGTAGACCTGTGCTTCAAAGGCAACCATTATATCAAACTTATATGTTGTTATTTACCAGCTAACGCCGTTGACGACAAGATTTAATTATTAAATGTTATAAGGAAATAGAGAATATTTTAACTAACGCTATGCACAACCATTTTGAATGTATAGTTTTAGGTGATTTAAATATCAGCTTTGACAAATTGAAAAAATCCAATCATTATCCTATTTGGAGACGTGAAATTAAAACAATCCTTAAAAACTTTGGCCTTAAAGACTTACTCAAATCCTTTCACGAACGTCTATCACCAACACATAGTACCAAAAGAAACGATGGACCAGATATACAATCTCGTATTGATTACATATTCACCTCATCCAACATTCTTCAACATAGTTTTTACGCTTATACTCATAGCATTTCTGAAGACCTTTTTACTACAGATCATAAGGCTCTAAGTTGTTACTTGACTCAAGATTACTTTAGAAATAAATTCAATAGCTCTAGGAAAAGCTTAGAAAAATCACCCACGTACAAACCTAATACCAATCCTCAAATTCGCTATAAATACCATTCTATGACCACAGAATCTTGGTCTAATTACAAACTTATCAACGGTATTATATATCGTCAACACATTAACAATTCAATTTCACCGGACAAAACACCGGAACAACAAATTGAGTTCTATTGGTCTAATATCAAAGATATTATTAACCAAACTAAAGAAAAATGTATTCCCTTTTCTGAATATAAGAAATACACGAAACATGATCATCCCCTTTGTTTAAGACAAAATAATAATAAAATACTTACACTTCGTACGATTTTACGAAAATTCTCTAATATTAAAATTAATAGAATACAGGGTGATCACGACAAATGGAAAGATTACTGGAAACTTTGGGGTACACTACGTAAACAAATTTTGGTTATAGACGTCCACTTTAATGCCAAACGTACTATTTGGTTACCAGTTAATTTGACGATCGATAATATATTTGACGTCAAAAAAGATTTACAAAGCCTTTTACGAGTCATTAATGTTTTACATAAACAGGAAGAAGATTCATGGACTATTAACAAAATTAACAAATATATTAACGATAGGAATAATAATTTAATCCACGACCAAAAAAGAATGATTAATAGTATCCTTGACCGTAAACCTCAAAAAATAACTTTAGATCGTTTACATTACTATGATCAACAAACTAATCAATTTCAATTTACTAATAACCCACATATTATAGCAGAACAAACTAATTTACATTTTCAATGTTTAGGAAAAGACCTTAATGAAATTAGAAATATTAAAGAGTATAAGTCAATTCAAGACCTCCCGTTATATTGGAGATCGACCTACGAACCCATCAACAATCGTAACTGTAAACATATGAATTCATTATCGGAGGATTTCTCAATTGAAGAATTATCCCAAGTCATTTCATCACTTCCAAATAATAAAGCCGCAGGCATCTCTGGAATTACATACAAAGACATCAAACATACCCATCAAGATTTCAGAGAATATATTCAACAATTTTTTAATTATATTATACAGGTCCAAATTTATCCACGGGATTGGTTATACGCATTTCTTTTC